ATACCATAATGCTGTATAACCCAATACTTATAGTACATATGTAATGGCTCAAAAAGTATTAATTCAAGATCATTCGCTAAATTCTAAATCCTTTGGCGAGTTACCTGAAAGAGGCTGGTGAGCTACTGGTAGATCCCGAGCCACAGGTTGGAGATCCCCGTTCTACAGCCTGAGTCCTGGATCTAAAGCTCTCCGCCTGAGAGAGACATCCACTCCCTCAATTTGGGCCTCCCCGAGATTTTCTCCCACTGGGTTTCTAGTTTTTCCTTGCCAATGCAGGAGGGTCTAAGGACAGTGGTGATGATCCAGGACTCTCACGGGACTTTTTCAACATTCATGGCTATTGTTCATCTGCCGCTTATGGACCAATGGCTCTGTGTGTTTATTATCAATGGATTTCTTGTGTTTTGTAAAGTCTTCTGAAATATCTACTGTTGTGATTTAGGGCTACACAAAAATACATTGAATCGTTGTCTCTGTTTTGATGAGCACTTCCCCTTTACAGAGATAATCCCCCCATCATATGGAAATGTCGGATAAATGTGTGATGAAAAGTGTGGCACCATAGTATCTTACATTTTCTCCTCCTTTCAGAGCACAGACAACGCACTTTATCACGGCTGAAATGCTACTGCGTGCCGTTAGAGCCGTGCTTCTTAAAGAGCGTTTAAACAAATGAAATGTCGCCGAGTTGGAAAGTCTTTTCTGTATAGCGGAGCAGGAGTGCAGTCGGTGATGGATGGGCTCCGCTCAGGGCTAAACTTTCAGCAGCTAATGACATTTGCACCAGACAGTCTGCATGCATCATTTGAGCCCGCTCGCTTTAATTAATAACCAGATTAGAGAGCTGGACGATGCATTCCTCTGCTTTGGTTCTGACTCAAAGATTACAGATTACACAAGTGATTCACGTTTATGTGGGACAGAGCTCCTGCTAAATATTATTGCATATATTAGTTTTTCCATTTTCAAATCTGAGTTTGTGGCAAAAAGTTGATTTTATCTTTTAGCTCGTTTACTCCATACTGTGGTGATAAACTACTACTGTAGCCACAGCTGCTCTGGGGCACACTGACAGAAGTAAGGCAACCAGTCTGTGACATCGCAACCATTCACACACACACACACACACACACCATTTTAATATGGGTGAAGTATCTTGCCTAAGGGCACAACTACAGTGTGACACTTTACAGCCACAGCCGCCCCTCTGTGGCACCTGGTGTTCCCAGAACTCTACCATCACAGTACTAACCAGGTCCTGCCTTGCTTAGCTTCAGAGGTCTGACGGGATCTGGATCTTGAGTTCCTACACTCACCTGTAGTCATGAGCTTTCAGTAGTCCAAAAGCTCAGTCACACTTGGAGCTTGGAGTTGAGCCGCTGCTCCCTCACTACATCGCTGTACCATTGTTGTGTTATGAAAGTCCCTGTATAAAGTATGAGCCACATAACTGAAGTAAAACCAATGCACTGACCTCAGATGCTGCTTGCGTCACAAAAAAACACATTGAGTTTGATGCAGATGAGATCAAAGTACAGGAGGACACAAAGCTGAGCCAGATCGACCCACTTCCTGCTCGTACTTCTTCTGGTGACAGCAGCTCTTAAAAACCTCTTCAACCCGATTGCCCCCCATTTGGGGTCCGCCCCCCCTTGCTGCAGCTTGTCCGGACCGTAGCTGACAGATACAACAACTGACAATCACATGTTTCACATCCTCGTGTTCGGACAACTCTCAGCTACAACATTATCCACTTCAATTTCAGTTCAACAGACCCAGGTTCAAACAACAAAGCACAATCTGACAAATCGTCATAAAGCACATGTCGAATCAAATGTTTGCTTTGGCGTCACAAGCGCCCTCAAAACAATAAGTAGCCCTGCTGTCAGCACACCATTAGAAAGCCCTCTCCGAGCTGAACACAATGCTATAAGCCTGGTAACGCTACCTCTAATACTCGCTGACCAAGCCGCAGACGAATGCCAGAAAACAAAGCAGTAAAACATCAGCGTTGAAGTAAAAGTCGACTTACTTTTGCTGTTTTTTCATCACAAGTCATTTCCATAGGAATAAAATTCCGTTTTTTCTTGTATTCAACCTCATAGCGAGGCTTTCTAGCGATCTGGCAGATATCTGTTACTTCCTCCTTCTGTAAGAGGCCCTTTGTGATAGGCTGCACCCGTGCGTCATGTCACGTACCTCTGTGTATCTCTTCCTGTGATTGGCCACAGGTGCTGTCCATCAATACGTTTTCAATGGTTTTTGATAGCCGAAGGAGTCTTCTTTCCAAAATGGTATGACATGCCCTGATTGGCCAAAGTACCGCGGAGGCGTGTACATGCGTATAGTTGGGGCAGAAGGAGGCTGTGCGCTAACCCTTTACGCACGGCAGTACTCGGAATTTTGATGAAAGTAAAAGATGGCAAAACAGCGTTATACACGCGAGGAGGTTGTAGAGCTTCTTGCTAGGGAACCGGGTGCCAAAGTTTATCTCAATGACTCTACAGACATGTTTTGTGACATTTGGCACAATTTTGGCACAGTTGGATTCCGCCTGGACTTTTTTTCCAATTCCATGTACAACTCTGCAGTGGTTTGTTTATTTGGCACATTTTTTGCTGGACTGGTCCAAAATATCGGGAACTGTCAATTTTTGTTCTTATTTGCTACACCACAGACAGGGAAAAAGCTTTTTTGAGGGAAAATATGTGTTTTTTTTTTTAGGCGGAAGTTAGAATTGTCTGTTTCAACCTCATTTTATTGTCAACCAATACAATTTATCATCTTTATTTCACTTCCACAGCAATCCCCAAGGTCCACCAGGTAATTTGGTACCTCCCTGTGGGTTTCCCTAGTTCTCCTCCAAGGTTTCTCACTTTTTCCCACTGGGTTTTTTAAGAGTTTTTCCTTGTCGATGCAGGAGGGTCTTGTTGGACAGTTAGTGTCCAACAGAAAGGATTGGTGATGATCAGGACACTTTAGCATTCTACAACATGTATGGACATTTTCTTCTGTGTGTGCTTTATATTCTTCATGTGTTTTAACTGTTGATTCTCTGACCTGTGTTGGTGATTTCAATGGTTTTGTTAAGTCCTCTGAGATGAATTCTGTTGTGACCTAGGGCTATACAAGAATAAATTGTATTGTATTGTATTGTATTGTATTGTATTGTACCAAGTTTGGCCACATATCTGGCTAAATACTATATGAAACCTTAGTAAATGTAGATTATAGCTTTTTCGGGAAAAAAGGCCTCTGGGCTTAAGAGGTTAGACCTTATGCCGGTTTTTTTTTTTTTAAATTGTGGATATCAAAATTGCATGACAATGTCGATCTGAAATAGATCGGCAAAAAAAATCCTATATTTTATAAAAAGAACGTGTTTTTCATGAATTTAAGTTGTCTATGCTCTAACCTGTGTGTGACGTCATAGCGGGTTACGCCCATGCATTGAAAACCATGGATCTATGCCACAGGACTGCCTTTTCTCTCTTCTCTCCACTGATGCCCAACACAATACTGCCCTCTACAGATGACAATTGCTCACTACACATAAATTGCCGTTTTGAGAGTGAAAAAGTATCCGAGGTGGGATTTGAACCCAAGTATCTGGATTGGCAGTCCATCGACACAACCACTGGACTATCTCAGTGACAATGAAACATTACAATCTAGTAGTTAAGTCAGACTCGCTGTACACGGCCTTGTCATCTTGAATATCCGCGAAAAAAGAACGAATACCAAATTGTAAACAACTTACAGCGTTGAAACGTACCCACTCTGATGTCACCAAGGGCTGTGAAGTTTTTTCGTCTCTAAGGGCGTTGCTATGGGGTTATTTCGATTTGGGGGGATCAGACAAAAAAAACAACAACTGATTTTGAAACCTTTAATAGTTCTCTCCTAATATAAAATGGTCTAAAACTGTATTTCTAAATAAATCAAAAGATATACAAAAATATATAACTAGAAAATACAAAGCAGTGGCACAAAAAAACACTATTTACAGAAAAAAATGAATTAAATATAAATTAAAATCCAATGAGAACAAGCACGTTTTAAGACAGGACTTATAATCAGGAAGTGACTTCGACAGTCTAAAACACAAGGGCAGCTCATCATCATACCATCCATCCATCCATTTTCTTCCACTTAATCCATTTCTGGGTCGGGGGGGTGGCAGTCAGAGCTGCACCCAGTACACAGAGCACCAGCCCCTCACTGATCCTCCTGCAGGTGCTGAGTCCACAGGAGCCTTGATCTTTCAGTGGGGGCTACAGACAAAGTGGGGTTAAGTGTCTTGCCCAAGGACACAACAACAGCAGTCATCAGTGGGAGTCGTGAAGTAGGTCTTACGGTGGGCTCGAACCCACGACCTAATATTTGAAAGGCTGGTGCAGGTTCAAATAACCTACCTTACTTTCCCACTGTTGTCCCGAGGCTGCAGTGTATCTCGGCCTAAAGAAACACTTTTTGAAATTCGCTCCACTTTTGCAGTTGAAAAATCAGGAACTTAAAGGTGCTCTGTGTAATTTTCATAGTAACAATAACAAATATGACTTTTTTAAGAATATTTACCCCCACAGGTTACACCCCCATGTTTTTGAAATGTTGTCATGGGCTAAGAATTATAAATGTCCATGAGGCTGGAGGACTCTGTGTCAATGAACCATCTTGAAATACAGTGGTTGATAAGGGACAAAAAGGAGTTTGAGCGGGAGTTGGAGACCACTGTCAAAGACCACATATTGTCCTGAGAAGTTACCGTAATAGTGAAAATTACAATATATGATTTCAATGCTAACTGGGAGTAACAACTACACAGTGTACCTTTCCATTGCATTCCGTCGTTGGCCATGAAGAAGTTCAAGAAAGATAGATTCCACGTAGATTGATTGTGCTGCTAAATGTACAATCGCATATTTATTCCACTACAGTGTCTTGAATTATCACAGTTATCGATGAACCTCATAATCGTGACAGCCGTTCTTCTACACTCAGTCCAGGTTTCTTCGTTCGCGTCTGACTGCGGGCCTCTTGACAAGCTCTAGCTCATCCGCGAAGAATCCCATTATGTTGGTTAGGACATGAGTAATGGCAGAGTCTTCCTGGTTAAGAGCATGGCAGAGAGAAATACAACGGCTTTTTTTCTTCCCTTCCCCACTTTTGAGTTTTTGTGCGATCCCAGGCCTCAGGCAGAGACACCGAGACAGAGAGAAGAGAGAGAAGCTGAAAAAGAAAGAGGAAAACCCGACCACAAACGCTGCATCGATTTGAACTAAAGCAGCTTCTGTCAAAAGTGCCACCGCTGCAGGCCGCACGCTGCAAAGTCTGCGGGACTCACAATCAAACATCGATCGGCAAATGTTAAACGCGGGTAACTCTGGTTCAAAAGGGAACATTTAAAGCTTTTGTTTTCAAAGAGGATGCACGACCTGACAATAATCAAATAAAATATTGGCTGATTGTGTGGGACTCAGAATGCATGAGGAGTATGGACTAGTTTAGTACAAAAAACAATGTTGTTTGTTGCCTTTTTTACCACACAATGTAGATCAATGAAGCGTTCAAGTATGTGGAGAGAGTGTGTGTGTGTGTGTGTGTGTTCAGACCTCTACTAGGTCCATGAGCCAGACCCCGGCTAGGTCCATGAGCCAGACCCCGGCTAGTTCCATGAGCCAGACCCCGGCTAGGTCCATGAGCCAGACCCCGACTAGGTCCATGAGCCAGACCCCCGGCTAGGTCCATGAGCCAGACCCCGGCTAGGTCCATGAGCCAGACCCCGGCTAGGTCCATGAGCCAGACCCCGGCTAAGTTCATGAGCCAGACCCCCGCTAGGTCCATGAGCCAGACCCCCACTAGGTCCATGAGCCATACCCCCACTAGGTCCATGAGCCATACCCCCACTAGGTCCATGAGCCATACCCCCACTAGGTCCATGAGCCAGACCCCCACTAGGTCCATGAGCCATACCCCCACTAGGTCCATGAGCCAGACCCCGGCTAGGTCCATGAGCCAGACCCCACAGACCCAGAGAAGACAGGAGGCTCCAGACCCCCACTAGGTCCATGATCCGGACCCCAAAAGGACCCAGAGGAGAGTAGAAGCCAAAACTCTAAACCTACATCATGTCCAAACTGAAGATGAGGCTCCAAATTCTCTACCAGGTCCATGAGCTAGACCTCCACAGGACCCAGAAGAGAGATATGGCTATAAACTTGTCCATGAGCTAGACCTCCACAGGAGACCGAGGAGAGTGGAGGCTCCAAACCCCCACCCGGTCCATGATCCAGAGGATGAAGCCGAGGCAGAGGGTTCCTCCAGAGAAAACCCTGGCGATACTAAAGTCAAGAAAACAGATGAAATGATATGCTTAGAAGTCAAGACAATCCATGTGGTTAAGTAGGGATTTAACAAAAACTAGCACACATAAATGATCAAATGTATCCTTTAAGCTCTATTCCGTTTTTAGCCGTTGTTTACCCATTTAAATGTTGTCTGTCAGTTCCGCCTTCGCAGCGAGACGTTTTGATTCAGCTTAATTCTGGACTACAGCCTTATCAGTCTTTAAAAGTAAACTCTTTACAGACTCATCCGCTCAATTCCTCGCTCAAACCTACCTTTTCTTCTCGACACCAGATAGGACTTAAAAGCAATCCCGCCACTCTTTCATTACATTGCCAATTATTCCCCGCGCCTGTCAAAAAAACAACCGCCGCCCTAATCTCCGCTGAAGTGGAAAGCACGTCATTGTTTGATCGCATTTTTGATCCGGCAAAACTTGATTTTCAAAGATCCCTTTCATCCGGTCACGTTTCTGACACAATGCGAGACGTGTTTTTTTCCCGACTGGTAGCTCGCCGCGGTGTCAGAGGAGGTAAATCGCATCAGGAAACACAGCGAAGTCGACATTTACAACACGAATTATCCATCAAGAGGCTGTTTCTTTTCTAAATCCTCACGACTCATAAAAGCAAAAGTATCAAAGATGAGAAACGCAAGCGCACGGAGCGAGAAAAAAGAGAGCTGACATCTCTAGCGGTGATTAATTAGCCGGATTCAAGGATATATTCTGACACATGTGAAAAGAGGAGGAGAAAGGATTCAGGGAAAAGGGACAGAATGAACAAGAGCAGATTTTGGCACAGGCGTAATTGTGCGGCTTTTGAATGGGAGCACAGCACTTACGACTGAAAAATGCACAGACTGAAAGGTAGCGGAGTTAATGGACTGTTTGAAATGGCATTTAGATTTAGTATCCAAAAGGTTTTTACGGCACAAAAAAGACCACATTTATCCAGTGATCTGTCAATGCAAAGCTTCAAGGGTGCAGGCTGGTCCCTCAGCTAAGTACTCCTGACAAAGATGGATATTACAGACTGCACAGTGCAAGAAAGTCAACTAATCTGCACTAAAATATGTTTTGTCCTTTGAATCTGCTTGCCTTCGCAGATTTGTGTGGGGCATTGTTAATTCAAATGCATTCTCCTCACATAGAAACATTATTCAGGTTTGCTGATTATAAAATATGTGCTGTATTCTCGTAATTACCGTTTTATGAGGTCCTCTGCTGCAAACACAAAGAAGCCATTGAGACACTTTAACAGTGTCATCCAACCAACTTCAGCTGCACCAGTACAGTCATGCTACGCCTTGTTGTAAATCTCAGACTCTCTGGAATCCAGACGTTGACTCTATTGCTATATACTGACTAGTGCTGTCCAACGATTAAAATATTTAATCGCGATTAATCGCATGAATTTCATAGTTAACTCGCGATTAATCGCAAATTAGTCACACATTTGCGTGCTGTGTGCAATTGCTTTTTTTATTGAAAACAATGTGTAGTGTTATATTACACACTAACATTTGATGCAAAATCATCAATAAATGGATGACAAAATAAATAATTGGTAACAAAAAGCCCCTTCAATGTGTGTGTGTGGGTGTGTGTGTGTATGTGTGGGTATAGACCATAGACTGTATAGAAACATCATGGTGTCATTATGATGATGATAAACAATCTGTAAATATTTTGTAAATTTGTTCATGTAAATACTCTATGCTGTTTCTCTGTTTACCTTCGGTATATCTATGACTGTATACTGTTTGCTTGTATTGCCTTTTTTATTAACCCCTCCCCCCATCTCCCACTTCATGTCCCTCCCCTCCTATGTGCCCTTCTGGGTTTCTTCTTTGGCCCCCTGTATCTCCAACTACATATTGTTTGTAATCTCTGTCTACAATGTATCTGAACTAGTCCTTTTCTTTGTTTCTATGTGTTTGTCTGCAATAAAAAGTAAAAAAAAAAAAAAAAAAAAATTTTTTTTTTTTTTTTTTTTTTTTTTTTTTTATCGCGCGATAAAAAAAATGACGGCGTTAATATTGATTTGCGTTAACGCGTTAATAACGCACTATTTTGGACAGCCCTAATACTGACATTTGTTTTATGATTGTGTCACAACATTCCACATAAATTGCAGCTGTGGTGTGAAACAATGAGGACGCATCATTACCCATTTTAATTTTCAAAATCCAGTAAATCCTAGCCTGGTCGTACCACACCATAGTACAAAATACATTTCATACAAAGGTCTGGATTTGCTCCATTGAGCTCCGTGAACAGGTGGGAGGGGTCAACTCCTTTTGCAGATTGAAACGATTGGATCTGAGTTTACCGTGACATTTGTAATGCGCCTGAATGAGTCGCTAGCTTTAGCCATCTCCTTTCCAGCTAATGGAGCCCGTGGGGAGTAGCGCCACAATCTTTGCCAGCAATATCTTTTGCTAAACATTACCCTTGCTCCGGCTTCAATTTCTTGATAGAACCAGACCGGATTACTTTACTATCGCATTCTTCACCATCGCCAAAGCAAACTCTTGACATCACCCACATCTACTACAACACCCGCCTCCCGCGCTCTCTGATTGGTCGGATGGAATTCTACCGATGTAATTGCAAACACAGGTACCAGACCCAGACATACGGATGGCTAAGGCCAGGCTAAGTCAATCCAGCTCAAATCTAGTTTTAAATAGGCAAGGCAAGGCAAGTTTATTTGTATAGCACAATTCATACACAAGGCAACTCAAAGTGCTGAACAAGATAGCATTAAAATAATAAATAATCACAGAACATTAAAACGAAAGATAAAAATATAAAATCCCTCAGTTGTATGCACAGCTAAACAGAACTGTTTTTAACCTGGTTTTAAACATTGTCAGAGAGGAGGCCTGTCTCACATCTTCAGGAAGACTGTTCCAGATTTTAGCAGCATGAATCTTAAAAGCAGCCTCCCCATGTTTAGTTCTGACTCTGGGCACTAACAGGAGTCCAGTCCCTGTGCTCCTCAGAGTCCCAGCAGGAGTCCAGTCCCTGTGCTCCTCAGAGTCTCAGCAGGAGTCCAGTCCCTGTGCTCCTCAGAGTCCGGGCTGGTTCATATGGTACTAACATGTCACTAATATATTTTGGTGCGAGGCCATGGAGAGACTTGTACACAAGCAGAGCTGTTTTAAAGTCTATTCTCTGAGCCACAGGAAGCCAGTGCAGAGACCTGAGGACTGGACTAATGTGGTCGTACTTCCTGGTTCTAGTCAGGACTAATGTGGTCGTACTTCCTGGTTCTTGTCAGGACTCGAGCTGCTGCATTTTGAATGTACTGCAGCTGTTTTACAGCCTGTTTGGACAGACCTGTGAGCAGGCCATTGCAGTAGTCTAACCTACTGGAGACAAATGAGTAAGTAAGTAAGTAATCTTTATTTATATACCGCCTTTCACAGACCAGAGTCACAAAGCGGTTTACAATTGTTATTTTTTGGGCACTTGTCCTCTCACTCCACACAGAGATGGGAGCGGGGTAAATGCATGGATAAGAATCTCCAGGTCTGCTTTAGACACTATGTTTTTGATCCTGGCAATGTTTTTTAGATGGTAAAAAGCTGCTGATGTTACTGATTTGATGTGGCTATTAAAATTTAAGTCTGAGTCCAGTATTACCCCTAGATTTCTGACCTTGTTTGAAGGTTTTAGGGAGAGAGACTGGAGGTGACAGATGACGTTCTCTCTTTGCTTCTGGGGACCAAAATAAGCTTGAAATAAATCAAATCAATCACAGAGAAAAGTTCCTTTCGCCAATCAGCTTTCTCAGAGTGCGCTGTTCAGTTCTGGAACACGATACCAGTCCATACACGAAAGAGTAACACACTCAGGACCTTTAAACATACGTTAAAAACCTGGTTATTGGAAAATCAAGATTGTAACCACTTATGACGTGTTGTTTGCTATTGAGTTTTATTTTTATATGTTTTAATGACCTGTTTTAAATTGTAATGTTTCACTTCATTATTTTGATATTGTAATGTTTGCAGTGTACTTTGATAGCACTAAACACCTTAGGACTACAGTTGGAAAATAGCTGTTAGCTAATACTGACATATTTACAGAAATGTTGATTAATGTGTATCGTCCCTATTCAAATAAACTAATAAATAAATCAACCCCGTTTCTCCGTAACAAGGGATTCCAGTGATTCAACAGAAAAGCAGTTTTGCGGTCGAGCTGCACGACACATCACCGACTCCCAGTGAAGACCGAGGCCGAGTCATCAGAGACGGAGCAGCCATTCTTTGAATATTGTCGGAGTCTATTCCAGATTTTAACTGCATAGATCTGAAATCCACCACACTCTTCTGCCATTCTCCAAAGCTCATGATCACTGGGGAGGAGGTAAATCAGTCTGGCACAGAAAAGTAAATAAAACAGCTTTCATCCTTTAAAAATCTACAGAAAGTGACCATCCTTGTCGACGCAGGAGTGTTGTTCTGAGGATTTTTTTATTTTGTGTCTGTTTTCTTGGAGCCTGCCTTGGGACTACGGCTGTAATTTTGCAGTTAGGCTAAGTCCGGCGCATTTACACTGAAGCTTAAAGCATCAATGTTAATGAATGTGCATTGTTCCTACTCAA